TTTACTAAATAATACTATAATACTTACAAAAACATTTTCACATCTAACATCATGATGAAAAACGTTTACTCTACGTAAAAATACTATGCCACGACAGATATCACGAATAATTCGTATTTTTCTAGGCCAAGGGATGTCATATTTGTTATAAAGTTCTTTTAAATTTCCATGTGTAGCCCAATCAACAATCATAACTTTATGATTATCATTATTTGAAAGACCATAAAAACGAAGAATATATGGTGATTCACTTAGTTTTCTAAGTATTGCAAGTTCTGTTTTGAGCTTATCAGGATCTCTAATAGGTTTACATGCAACTTCAACACAAGTTTTATAAAACTTTCTCGTAATAAGATTATCTGAGCCACGAACGTCACTCATCATTGAAGTTGGAGGCTCACTTAATTCGCATGGATTAATCATAGAAGCATCAACGTCACATAATTTTTGGGATTTTATAATGGAGATATCTTGAGCTATAATATCGATTTGCTGCCTCATATCTTTAATTTCAAAACTAGTATCTTTGGTTATTGATTCGAGATTTTTGAGGGCCTAAAGTAATTAATAAAAATTTCAAATTAATTTAAAATTAAATGTAATATGGTAAATAACATTTTCAAATAAATAATTATACTTACAATTTGAACGTCTTTTAAAGCTTTTGAAACTTTTTTTGAATCCGAATTTCTTTGATTTTCATTAACAATTGCTAAAGTGAATTGTAAATCCTCCATACACTTATTATATTCATCAGTTAATTTATCATATCTGCTTCTAACATCTGTTGCATGAAGAAATTTTATATAGCCTTTAAGATTTGCTACATTTTCAGTATAATCTTTGATTTTACGTAAAACATTTATAAAACTTTGAAAAGCTAAATAATATTCTTTTTTACGAATATTATCTTCATTCTCTTCTATATTTCTCATCATCATGCCTATAGCATGTTCAGCATTTTTCACTCGATTTGTCATAATTAAACAAATTTCTTTATTACATTCCGCATTTTCATAAATGCGATTAATTTCCTTAGCTATGTTATTAACCACACCAACTAAAGGAATGTATAGAGCTACAATTTCTGCAACAGTTGTAATAGCTAAATCCATGTTTATTGATAGTGACGCAAATTTTTGACTACAGTAAACGAAAGTCGAAAACTCACGTCTTTAAATTAACCGGTGATCTGATGATGATTATACATAATAGTAATCACGCTTTGTCATACAAAAAAAAAAATTATACATACATACGTACGTACGTACAGTATTTTAACTTTCAATAAGGTTTACAGGCTACTTGATAAAAAAGTATTAGTGTGGCACTTTGTCAAGTACTATAAATATAATAGGTATGTAGTACAAGAACTTTGTTTAAAAAAACAAATTTTTTTGTACACATATATTGCTTTTTTATTAAGTCGTGTAACGATAAAACGCCAATCGTGAATATTTGACTTTAAACAAAATCATGCAGTAAGGCCTAAAACTTTTGGTCCGGAATTCATTGGAGTTGTGATCGGCCGGGGTCTGAATTAAAATTTGTCTAACTAAATAAAGTTTCACAAATGAGTTCATAGAACCCATAGAATATGCAATAACGACAGGTCAAGTACTTTCTAGATACTGTTTGATTTCAGAATTCCAAACCGCATGCTTATTTGGGATCTTTACTAGGAAAATCACCCTTCGACATTTTCTGATCGGGTTAATTCGGACAAATTCAAACCAATATGCCAATACTTATTTGCATGTAAATCATTTTGTCTTTATTGATTCAAACGTTCATTCGATTTACATGTAAATAAGAACCGGTATGTTGGCTTAAAATGTTCCAAAATTGCCCGATCGGAAATGTCGGAGTGTGATTTTAGATCCCATCGAGTTTTGGAACAGGGCTTATGGTATTTTTGTACTGAATCCAGAATTAACCGGATTTATTGTATAAAATAAGTTAAAACCCGTAAATTCTCAAAATAACAGATATCCGCGCGTCATTTCGATACTTTTATGGGTATTATTTCGAAATAATAGATCAATTTTTCTAATTGACATAATAAACAAAAGTTCTAGTAAATCTTCATGATGGATTGACTTACATCATAAAAGTTGTCTGTGAAGATCCTTCACGGTTATCATGAAAGTTAAAAAATTCACGAGTAGAATTATTATTAAATGCATAGTATTTCATGGTACTGTAGTTTTCTGTATGATGTTAGAAGTCAAAGCTAAATCAAAAGAAATTATATTTTAATATATTTAATTTCTTATGCTAAAATTATTATAAAATACGATAAATAATTATAAGATATTGGTCATGCAATGATTAAATGATTAGTATCATGAAATTTATTTAACCAGAGCAAATGATTGGTTAACATGTGCCGCGTTTCAGCAAAGTTTGCGATATTTATCATTATATGGACAATATCGGCAATTATAATCACGCTTTACAAATTAACGGAGTTTTAATTCAGGATTGTTGTACTATGCACAAACATAACAAGAAAAAGAATATATATATATATGATTATGACTGCAAAAATTTTTCTCGTAGCGGAAAAATTATCTGTCAAAAAATTTTTGCCGAATAACGTCATCACGTATTTGGAAAATATTCGGAAATGATTGTGGCAGATCATAATGAAATCAGATCATAATGAAATTTAACTTATTTTATGTACGATTTTTAAAAATTTTTGGGACCTTTTTAGTTAGGTTTTTTTTTATAGTTAAGTTAGGGTTTAGGGTTAGAATTATTAGGAAAAGAGTATAGGTGGAGACCCCTAAATTTCACAATGATCTGATTTCATTATGATCTGCACAATGATTAGTTAAATGCATTCAGCCGTCATAGAATTCGAATTAATATTGGTCACTTACAAGCCCGTCTATGATATGCAATCTCATTGAGATCGTCAGAAAGGAAGTTCGGTTTATTATGTAATTTAAGATGGGAGGTGCATGTTTATATGTTATTATAATTCGATCAACTAGGGGTCTGACCTTCTAATAAAAAGAGATTACGTAATAAATGGCACTTCCCTAACCAAAATTATCGACTTTATGTAGATCATAGTAGACTGGAGGATAAAAATGGTTACAGACCAAAATTCTCGAAACAAAAATTCCGAAATTTAACTATCGTTTCTTATGACAATATTTAAAATCAGCCTAGCGAACTTTCATTGTTATTTTAGATCATCCCGTGAACTTGCAAAAAATATTATTGGTTAATCGATCGTGATTGTTTTGCAAAAAGAAACTTATATTGAAAATATTTGATATATGACTAAATTGGCATCAATAAAAGCGTTATTACAAAGCCTTAGTAACTCAAAGTCTAAGAACATCATTCCAGCACAAACAATATCTTATGAACCAAGATTTTATTAAACAAATAAAAAAAATTTAAAAATTAGAGCGCAAAAAAAGTAAAACAAAAAAGTATAAAAAAAATAAAAGTATGAAAAACGCTTATTCTAAAAAACTAATAGAAAATGTATAAAAGTTTTAAACTATAATGTCGAGTTCTATTAACACCAGACTAGTTTAACCTTAATAATCTTAGACATAACATTATGCTTTAACGTTAATCTCATGAAATCCATAAGTTCACCAACCTATTTTACTAGCTTTAGATTATAAATAAATTATTAATACATAAGTTACCGATATTTAATAGATTTATTTGCTAAATTGAAGCATCTAAACATACCGCTTACCAAATTACTTTGACTGCCAGTCCATTTTGTGTTACTTTAATAAGAATTCGTTACGTACGTACGTACGTAGATGAAATGATCTGCAAAAATCAGTAAATCATAAAAGATCGTTATGCTTTTAAACTCCGCTGAGTAATCATTATTAATAATGACGAACCAATAGTTTGGTTTGTAAACTTTAAACTCATCGATTAATTCGATTTTCTATTTGTATTACTATCTAGTATAACCACGGAGTTTAAATTATTTACCGATATCTATAATTTAATATAATGCTGAGTAGCATTGAATGATTTAGATTGTTATGCTAAAGAGGTTAGTACCATATTCCGTTGGGGTGTTAGATATCAAATGATTAACTATCATAGTTCAGCACTATATGATTGGCCCACTATTAAAGATTTTTAAATTTTTGTCGATCAATTTATCGAGATAGTAATTTTATAATAAAAAACTGTGCATGCATTTTTAAAATGTTCTAACTTCCGTTCTAGTAAAGCAATTTTAATTCTGTAATTTGCAAATGATATGTAAATAGTAAGCTTTTAAAACTATGTTGAGACATTTTTCATTTCATTTTATTAATATGGCTAAAATCATAAATTAATAAATTTTAATAGTTTTTTAAACGATTAAGTTCTAGAGAGCTACTAAAACTTACATAATAATATCAAATATGGCAACATAGTTTTAAAAGCATATTATTAATACACCATTCGCTTTTTACAGAATTAAAATTGCTCTACTAGAGCAAGAGTTAGAACGGTTTAAAGTTATTATTTTACATACCGTATAAGCGCGCAGGGGTTTAATTTCAAATTTTGGCCTAAATTAAGCTTAATTCGGGCCAAATTTCAAAATAACGCCCCTGCGCGTTATTTCGCACTTGTACAGTAATAATTATCATGAGTTCAATCTCGCGCTTTGATTTGAGTATGCATATGCCACTGTATATATTTTTATTTGAAAGTTATGCTCATTTAATCAAATATGTGTTGTATGTATGTACGCATTGAATTAATTTAAAATAAGCGTACTATTTCCAATTAAATTTTATTTAAGCTAAATTTCTATACAATAATATAATGGAATGATTCCGTTATTCATATGTTATAAAGAATTTTATATTATCGGTATAAAATATATTATTCAATTTTAATGATTTCATAATAACGAAATTACTTGTATTCTTTGAAAATAAATAGTCATTTATTATTTAAATATAAATTTGTATTCATTTTTTATTTTTTTTATTTCAATTGTATTAAAAATGACTCGCCATACAAAGAAAAGAAAACATTTACAAAAAATTACCAAAGATCGTGAACCTAAAAAACAATGTTGTAGCATTTATATGCTTAGTGATTCTTTGAGTCATAAAGAATTAAAAAATGTTCAAAACCACATTAATTCGTTAAACCCTCAATTACAAAACATTAATATCTACGAAATTATTAATTCCTTAGACCAGGAAGAATTAAAAAATATTCAAAATCATATTAATTCGCTAAACCCACAATCACAAAACATTA